GTCTTTGATCACTTTGTTGACAAATTCAGTTCCTCTGTCAGATCTGATTGTTCTAACCTTCATATTCTTCTCAGTTTGGAGTTGCTTTAACAGAGATGGCAACTTCTGAAGAGTTTCATTCTTCTTGGTTAGGAACACAGTCCATGTGTATCTTGAGTAGTCATCAACCATAACAAGAGTATATCTTTTTCCACCAACACTGGGAGTTTCAACTGGTCCAAATAAATCCATGTGGATCAGATTTAGAGGACAAGTAGAAAGGTCTCCAGCTATGGGTTTGAATGAGGTCTTCACTTGTTTTCCTTTTTGACAAGCACTGCAGAGGGTCTCCTTCTTGTAAACAATGTCAGGCAGACCATCTACAATGTGTTCCCTTGCCAGTTTGTTAATGGTTTTGAAATTCAGATGGCTAAGCTTCTTGTGCCAGTCCCAGCTTAGCTTTGAATTGTCTTTTGCTATCAGACAAGTTCCATCTTTTGCTGTTTGCCAGTCAACAACATAGATGTTCTTCCTTCTCTTGGCTGTAAGAACCACTTCTTTGGTTGTCTCATGCTTGACATAGCATAAGGTCTTGGTGAATTCAACTGTGTAGCCTTTGTCACAAAATTGGCTAGCACTCAGCAAGTTGAACTTCAGACCTTTGACATATGAGACATCTTCAATGATTATCTGGTTCTTGATCAGCTTCCCTCTTCCCTTTGTTTGACCTTCCTTGTCATTTCCACCGAAAGTGACTCTGGGTCCATTGATTTTCTGGAACTCTGATAGGCAACTCTTGTCACCTGTCATGTGCCTGGAGCATCCACTATCAATATACCATTCTTTTTCTGAGATAGCTCCAGCACACTGTTCCTGCAAGATTAAAAGGAAGATTTAGGTACCCAAGCAATGTTGGGTCCTGGGGGGTAATGCAGTCTTGGTAGTTGGTACCATTTTGGTCTCATCAACTGAAACCTTGGTGGATGATACCCATTGTCCACCTGGTAGTTGTAGTAAACAGATGTATGATTCACTTTGGGCAGATGCTTGTGAGGATCATGCGTTCTGTTTGCATACTTCTGCATAGCCTTCTTGGTTGGAAAGAAGTCCCATATACTATCAAGATCAGAGGAGCGCTTAACTTTAGGCTTCTGAGGTTGACCAGACAACCTCTTCTGCCTATAGTTAATCTTCTCTTGATATCTGCCTTTCTGATAGCAGTTTCTGATACCATTGTCATGAGATTGTCTGATAGGGTTAGGCCTTTGATTATTATTGTTCTGAAAACTCTCCCTTTTGTTAGAATTTCTGCCAGGTTTATTAGTTTTCAAACTTTGTTTTGGTTTGGCCTTTAGAGTTTGTTTTTCTGGTATGACCTTCTCATGAACAACTTTAGTACCAGAAGTACTAGCATGGCAATTGGGGCTCAGAGTCTGTGGCACTATGACCTTTTTAGCCTTAGCAATTTTGGTGCTAGGCCTTACAGAAGGCTCACCAGACTCTGGTTCAACATATCCAAGACCAGCGGTGAAGTTATGAGAATCACCAATATTCTTCATGGAAGATTGCATCTTCAGAAGACTATTATATCTATTCTCAAGTTCCTCAATGTCTCTTATTCTTTTAAGAAGAGACTCATTTTCAGCCTTTAGTCTATCTCTTTCCTCAGTTAAGAGATTAAGTTTGCACTCAGTCTCTTTCCTTAGATCAGAGATATCAACTTTCAGCCTACTGTTCTCTTCTTTAACAAAAGAATAAGTGGCTTGGATAGTTTGGAACTCTTCCCAAAATGATGACTGATAACCGCTTTCGCGGCGTTGTAGTAAAACGGAGTCTAACCTTTCGGTTTTTCCCCGAGTGTCGTGTCTCTTGAGGAATGGCGGAGAAGTTTCTTAATTTAATTTTAGTCACGGGCTATCGCTAATTGTTGGAAGCTTTTTCAATATAGGAAAGTGATTTTGTTCTATATTACGCTAAATTATAACTAGGAGCAAGGTGCAATTTAAAGATTAATGTATAAATATTGAATATTCAAGGATGCAAATAAGGGCAATGAATTGAGTAATTAGAAATGGATATGTTCTTGGACCTCTTAATTAGGGAAATTAAAACTAAAATTGGACTAATAATTTCTTTCCTCATAGACAAGAATAGAAACTATCTTCATTAATTTATCCTATTTCTAGGTGTCATTAATGTGTTTAAAATGGTTGGCTTAAATTATTTTCTAAACCCATAGACAAGGTAGAAATAATTTTCCAATATTTTAATTAATAAAAATAGCCAAATTCATTAACTAGTTAAACTCTTTATTTTAGCAATTGAATTTATTTCTCATAGACAAGATGTAAATCCTTTTCATTAAATTATCCTATTTCTAGGCCTTATTAATGTGCTCAAATATGGTTGGCTTAAATTAATTTCTAATCTCATAGACAAGTTAGAATTAATTTTCCAAGAATTTAATTAATGAATATGGCTAACTATTATTAATTACTATTTCATCATTTCAAACAACTAGTCCAATTTATTAATTTTAACCCCTAATTTTAGGTCAACAAGTCAATCCATATTCCTTTTCTCAATTCATGCCCTAACAAATTTAGCTACTCATCACCATTTTTGCAATTAACAAAATAATGATTAAATTCAACATTAACAAGGAATTAAACATGTATGATAGCAAAAATTAAACAAAAATTATATTCTGGAACAATAAACTTGTAGGAACTAAAATATAACTTTCTGGATTTTTTCACCAATTTTTGAACCTAAAATCCAATTTTTGACAACTAATTGATAATTTTCCCAATTTTAACTAGAAAATGCAAAAAGCAACTAAAAATATGCTAACTTCGTTATAAATTTTATTCTAGCTACTGGGAGTGATATTACTATGAATCAAACTGAAATTAAGGCCGAACTAATTTTTTTCTATTTTTCTAGTATTTATTCTAAATTATGAACTAATCTCAAATAATTACCAAAATTAATTAAAAATTACTTATGCTTCGTGAAAAATTAATTTATTCAGATAAATAACTACCTTGAGGCTAGTAAACAACTATATAATTAATTGGAATGAATTCAACAACAATAACTATTTTATTTAATTTTTGGAAGTAAATGCGAAATACTTGAAAAATAATCTGGAAATTTTCGAAGAACAGATTGAACAAACAAAGTGCAGATTCAGATTCTACTCGTTGAGAAGATGAAAATACATATAAAGAACTTACAATTTGGAGCTAAAATGAAGAAGATATGAAGATTTGAAGTTTCTCTCTCTCTAAAACCTTTGGAGCTCGAAAATGGAGGAAGAAAGAGGGTGTTTTGAACTGATTTAGGGTTGGAAGTGGTGTGTTTGAGTTCAGCAAAAATCGGGCAATTTATAGGAAATTTTTCTCCGTAGGCGGCCATCCAGGCGGCCGCCTTCCGCCTCTATCCGGCCGCCTTCCGTCTAATCGCCGGCAGCGGATCGTGGCCGGTCCCGTCCGCCGTAGGCGGCCACAGAGGGCGGCCGCCTTCCGTCACACCTCGGCCGCCTGCCGTCTTTTCACGTTCAAATCGGATCGCGGCGGATCCCGGCGGATCCCGGCCGCCGCAGGCGGTCCAGCAGGCGGCCGCCTGCCGTCCTGTCTGGCCGCCTGCCGTCCCGTCTGGCCGACCGGTGGTTGGTTTCGTCCCCTTGTGCCGCAGGCGGCCACCGTAGGCGGCCGCCTTCTGTCCAGTGTCGGTAGCCTTCGGTCTTTTCCTAGTCCCGAGTCAAAGCGAGGTTGACTTCTGATTTTTCCCGTAGGCGGCCGCGGAGGCCTCCATTTTGGGCGCCTATTTGGGCGCCTTCGGCCATTTTTGTCTGGCAGATGCGGCTTTTCTTGCTCTTCATTTTTGTCTTCTGAATCACCTTGATAAAATGCTTGCTTCTTCCGGTATAAATGCATTTGTCACTCAAATTGACTCATTTTGTGCTCAATTGACCCGAAATCCCGCTAAACATATTATGGATGTGATTTTCACCTGATTTCATGAAACTTGAACCAAAATATCTAAAACATGCCTTTTCTTTCTATTTTCAATCAAAAATCGCTTAAATTTGATAAGAAAAATAAGTACAAAAATGGACTTATCAATCTCCTCACACTTAAGCGTTGCTTGTCCTCAAGCGACGAATTAGTTGGAAACACACTCAAAAAGGGAAAACCTGACTGTATCACAATCGAATTGCTATTAAAGAAGTAGAAACAAAAACCTCTTCTTTTTATTCTCAATCTTTAAACATTTTAGAAAAATCACCCAAAATACAAGAGTTTAAAATTAGTATTACTTACGAAAAACTATTTATTATGTTAAACCACCAATCAATTCCTTATCCCAAGATTTTCATTATTCTAATTTGGACATTCATCTTGTTCACCATTCATTTTTTTTTTTTTTTTTTTTTTTTTTTGCTCTTTTTCACTCTTGTTGGCGGTGTTATCCCATGGTAAATGCATATTTCATTCTCACAGACTGTGATTAGCGAATGAAACAGAGCCCCTTTTCGGAGATGGAATTGTCCTATAACAATGAGTTTTGAAGAGGTTTATTAATAGTAACATTTTTTTTTAATGAATAAAATGAATGTCCAATTAAAACAAATTCAGACCTTTACATTCGCAACCAAAAACCCATAACAATTTTAAGTTTTCAAAAATAATAATAATAGTAAATTCTTATAATAAGGGTGATTTTCTAAACTATTTTGTGAATTGATAACAAATTGAGAAATTAATGTTTCATATCAAAAATAGTAAAAAGATTGTTCTAAAACAAGGTTTTGACTTTTGAGTGTAAAACGCAACCTCCTCACACTTGAGCTGGACCTCGCCCTCGAGGTCTTCTTTTGAGGCACAAAATTGGGAAATAAAGGCACATAATATTTTTTTTTTTTTGGTTCTTTCCTCACACTTGAGTTTTGAAAAGATTTTGTGAAGAGGAATAATGAAACAGGAGAAAAAATGGTTTTAAAAATCCTTACATCATCCATAGTCAGTTTGTAAGAGCATTCAAGTCAAAGGAGCAGCGCAATGTCCAACCTGAAGAACAAACAAACATGATAAAAATGTTAAGGAAGAAGCAAATCTAAACATCGCCTGCGCCATCCTGGGGGCCATAGTGTGGCCTAAGCCAATCTCTCATCTCATCAATATCTAGCCTCTGGGTCTCTAGCTCCGCCTGCATATCCTGGGTGGCTCTTTCCTGAGCTAATCGAAAGTCTCTGAACTCTCCCAGGGCCGTCTCATGCGCATCTCGCATCTCCTGGAACCCTCTGTCCTGTGCAACCCGCATCTCTGAAACTGAAGTCTGGAGACTCCGCATCCCATCCATCATCGCTCTCCAATCTGCGGCGCTAGGCATGTATGAAAAGGGCTCACTAGATCCCTCATGTCCCGAGGGTCGAGAAGAACTACTCTGCTGGGTCGGCTGCTCAATACCTGGGAGCTCCTGAGTATTCCGCTTCTTCTTGATCCTCATGTTGGTAAAGGATGAGGATCGAAGAACGCGGATGCTCTCCTGTAAATGTGATAGCCCTGGAATGTCTAGATCTGGGTAGAATGATCTAACGAGGGTAGTGATGAAAGGCCCTGCCTGGATAGTGCGCCGCACAGTCTTCCCCTGGCTCCGGAAGAAACGAGCCATAAGGACAGCCATATTCACCGGGATGCGGTGAATCAAACTCCAAAAGAATAGTATGTCCTTTTTGGACAACCTGTTTGTGTTGTTAGGTCGTCCAAAAAAACCACAAGAAAGTACGAACGAGAGTATGTACCAGTGAGTCTCCCTCCATTTGTTCGAATGGGGGTGCATCCGGAGAAATGATCTGGTGTCTGTGGAGTGTCTGTGCCAGAACTCATCAATGTCAAATGCCTCGGGTAAGCGGGTCGGAAGAGCACGGAACTCCTCAGTCTGTGTGTATGCTGGGGTATAGAGCCCCATCCTCCATCCGAGCTCAGCCACAGTGATGGAGTGCTCCATGCCTAGAATAGTAAACCTCATCCGAGACTCTGACCCAATAACAGCACCCTCCTGCACAGCCTGTCCGTAATGAGTGAACTGAACGGAGCACAGAAACTCCATCGTCAATGGAAGGCTGGCCCTCTCCTGAACGAATAGAATCCTCCGCCATAAAGAGTCTCCTAGCAGGGCATCAATGTCATCCCAGTACCCCCATTCCTCTAGCATCGTCGGGTCCAGGATCATGGGAGGAAGGAGTGTGCGGTATTGCCCCCATGCCTGGAAGCGTCTGCGATCAGCAATAGTAGCAAATGGGATATCAGGCTGAGGTGGCGGGTCTTCCCGTCCTAGTGGTGGCTCCTCGAAAATGGGATCGTCACGTCTTCCTCCAGACATCTGCAAGAAATAAACAAAGTAAAATATTTTTGGGTTAGTTTTTTTTTTTTTTTTTTTTTTTTTTTTGGGTGGGTTGCCTCCCAATGAGCGCTTCTTTAACGTCACTAGCTTGACGAATGTCCTCCTTCGGTTCAAAATTTTTGGAGATAGAGAATCTCCTTGCTTTTTTCAATCGGGCCGCCATGGTAGAGTTTAAGTTGGTGGCCGTTGACTTTAAAGGGAGCCCCATTAGCATCTTCAATCTCAACAGTTCCGTAGGGGTAAGATTTTATGACCTTGAACGGTCCGGACCATCTTGATTTAAGCTTTCCTGGAAAAAGCTTCAACCGGGAGTTGAACAACAGCACTTTATCTCCAGCATTGAAATCACGAGCTTTGATGTGTTGATCATGGTAGAGTTTGGCCCGTTCTTTGTAAAGTTTAGAATTATGAAAAGCTTGCGCTCTCCACTCTTCCAGTTCATTCAGCTGGTAAAATCGTTCCTTCCCTGCAGCATCCAGTTTAAAACAGACATTTTTCATCGCCCAAAGTGCTTTATGCTCGAGTTCGACGGGTAAGTGGCAAGACTTCCCGTATACAAGGCGAAAAGGTGTTGTTCCGATCGGGGTCTTGTAAGCAGTCCGAAATGCCCAAAGAGCGTCGTCAAGTTTAGTTGACCAGTCTTTCCTGGTCTGGGCAACAGTTTTCTCCAGAATGGACTTCAAATCCCTGTTAGCGTTCTCCACTTGTCCCTGAGTCTGGGGGTGGTACGCTACTCCGCTTCGATGTTGGACTCCATATTTGGCCAAAATTCTGGCCATTGGATCATTGTGGAAATGAGTCCCTCTATCGCTGATCAAAACCCTAGGCACACCAAATCTGGTAAAGAGCTTTTTCAGAAAATTCACGACTACTCGAGAGTCGTTGGTGATACAGGCCTGGGCTTCAACCCATTTAGAAACATAATCAATGGCCACAAGAATGTATTTGTTTCCTCTTGAGCTTGGGAAAGGTCCAACAAAGTCGATGCCCCAAACATCAAATACCTCACAAGGTAAGATAAAGTGTTGGGGCATCTCATTGCGCCCAGAAATGTTCCCGATTCGTTGACAGTTATCACAAGAAGAAACAAATACATTAGCATCCTTAAAAATCGTGGGCCAGAAGTACCCACAGTCCAAAACCCGTCTTGCGGTTCTATTCCCTGAAAAGTGGCCCCCAGTAGGACCGCTGTGACAATGCTCCAGAATGTCCCTTGCCTCAGCTTCAGTAACACATCTTCTCACCACCTGGTCAGCACAAATTCGGAATAGATATGGATCATCCCAAAAATAGTGCTTTGCTTCTGATAGGAACCGCCTTTTCATGTGCCTTGTCAGTTCGGTAGGCTCGACTTTACCAACAAGGTAGTTGGCAATGTCGGCATACCACGGTGTTTGTTCCTTGGCGGATATTGCCATCAGTCTCTCAGCAGGAAAAAGCTCCTCAATTTCGCATTTTCCGAAAGTTTCTGCTAACTCGGCATCTAACCTCGAGAGGTGATCAGCTGCCTGATTAGCAGATCCTTTTCGGTCCCTGATTTCAATATCAAATTCCTGCAACAAAAGAACCCAGCGTAACAGTCTAGGCTTAGCATCATGCTTTTGGAGGAGATATCTAATGGCCGAATGGTCGGTATAGATAATAACCTTCGAAAGAATGATGTAAGTCCTAAACTTCTCTAAAGCACAAACAATAGCAAGGAATTCTTTTTCAGTGGTAGTGTAGTTGAGTTGTGGCCCTGACAGAGTTTTGCTAGCGTAGTAGATTGGGTGGAAGTTCTTGTCCTTCCTTTGACCAAGGATGGCCCCTACTACTAAGTCACTAGCGTCACACATGAGTTCAAAGGGTAAACTCCAATCCGGGGCCACAAGCACAGGAGCATTGATCAGTTGTGTTTTAAGTGCTTGGAAAGCATGGTGACATTCATCAGAGAATATAAAAACCGCATCTTTTTCAAGTAACCGGGTGAGAGGTTTTGCGATTTTAGAGAAATCCTTTATAAAACGACGATAAAAGCCCGCGTGTCCTAAGAAGCTGCGGATGGCTTTTACCGTGGTTGGTGGAGGAAGTTTCTCTATCGTCTCAATTTTTGCACGGTCCACCTCTACCCCGTTACTTGACACCTTGTGTCCAAGTACTATACCCTCTTTCACAAGGAAATGACATTTCTCCCAACTTAGGGCTAAATGGGTTTCCTTGCAGCGGATAAGTACTTTTTCCAGGTTTTCGAGGCATTTTTCAAACGTTTCCCCAAAAATAGAGAAGTCATCCATGAATACCTCCATGAAGTGGCCAATGTATTTTTCAAAAATGGCAATCATGCACCTCATGAAGGTGGCAGGAGCATTACAGAGACCGAAAGACATCCTACGAAAAGCAAAGGTCCCAAAAGGGCATGTAAACGTAGTTTTGTCTTGGTCTTCCGGGTTGACATGGATTTGGAAGTATCCACTCATGCCATCCAGGAAACAGTAGTGACTATGGCCTGCCAACCTCTCTATTAATTGATCGATGAAGGGAAGGGGAAAATGGTCTTTCCGGGTGGCTTCGTTTAGTTTGCGGTAATCGATTACCATTCGCCACCCGGTAACAGTTCGACTGGGTAGAAGTTCGCCCTTTTCATTTTTCATGACGGTCATTCCCCCCTTTTTGGGGACAACATGAATAGGGCTTACCCACTGGCTATCAGAGATGGGGTAAATGATACCCGCATCCAGCAGTTTGACAATCTCGGCACGCACTACTTCCATCATGTTTGGGTTTAAACGTCGTTGTGGTTGGACAACTGGTTTAAACCCTTCCTCAATTTTGATGGTGTGGGTACAAAAGGTGGGGCTAATTCCATTGATGTCCTCAAGTTTCCAAGCAATTGCTTGCTTGTGTGTCTTAAGGACTCCAAGTAATTTCTCCCTTTGTTCCTCACTTAAGTGTGCGGCGATGACGACAGGGCATTTGCCTTCGTCATCCAAGAATGCATATTCTAAGTGGTCGGGCAGTTTCTTTAGTTCGAGGGGGTGGTCGTTTTTCAAGTTTTGTTCATTTTTCTCCCCCTCAAACTCAGTCAATACTTTGTTAGAAGCTTGATCAATCAGCGCATCCTCACAACTCTCACATGCATCACTCACATCACTGTTGGCTTCTTTTAACAGACATGCTTCATCAGTTACATGTCCATTTTCTTCCCCAAACAGATACCCTTCAATAGACTCAAAGGTATCAAGAAAATGACATCCTTGAAAGGAATCTGTGGGGTGTTTCATAACATCTGAGAGTCGGAAGGTGCAAAGATCATCTCCGACTCTTAGAGTTAATGAGCCATCAGTGACATCAATCAAGGCCCTGGCGGTAGCCAGAAAGGGCCTTCCCAGAATAAGAGGTGTTTCCCTATCCTCTTCCATGTCCATTACTACAAAGTCGACTGGGAAAATGAACTTGTCAACCTTGACCAAGACGTCTTCAACAATTCCTTTCGGATATTTGACTGAGCGATCAGCCAGTTGAAGACACATCCTGGTGGGTTTCATTTCCCCAAGTCCTAGCTTCTCGACTATAGAGGAAGGCATCAGATTGATACTTGCCCCTAAGTCAGCTAGAGCATTATTGAAGTTGAAATTGTCTATAGAGCAAGGGATAGTGAAACTACCTGGATCCTTTAGCTTTTCGGGTATTGACCTCAGAACCACGGCCGAGCATTCTGCGTTCAAGTCCACGACTGAGAGCTCCTGCAGCTGCCTTTTGTTTGTCAGCAAGTCTTTGAAAAACTTGGCATATTTGGGCATCTCCGCTAAGGCATCCATCAGCGGCAGGTTGACGTGGAGTTGTTTGAGTAGGTCCAGGAATTTGTTGTACTTCCTGCTATCGTCATCATTTCTAACCCGTGAAGGAAACGGGAGAGAAGGTTTGACGATAGTGACCCTTGTGTTAGGGCGTGTTGGTTCCATGCTCTTCTCAGTTGGAGCATCAGTTTGTTTCTCAGGTTCCATGGTCGGGGTACCTTCCTCTTCCTTGTCTTTCTGCTCAGCCACGGTTGTTTGTCTCCCGCTTCGAAGAGTGATGGCTTGCACATGTTCACGGGGGTTTGGTTCCGTGGTGCTAGGCAAGTTGCCTGGCTGACGACCAGGAACATTGTTCTGATTAATTTGCATCATCAGATTTTTGATCTGATTGTCAGTGCTGGCCTTGTATCTTGTTATTTCCTCCCGTGTCCTTGCCAGTTCTGCTACCAACAAGCCTATCTCTGATGGCTGGGCAGCCTCCGTTTGTCGTTGGTGTGGAGGCACATAAGCTTGGTTGTTCTGTTGGGCTGGTGCACCTCCCTGGTTCCGACTCTGGAAGTTGTTCCCTTGATTATTGTTGGGGTAGTTTTGATTACCTTGATAACCGCCGCGAGGAGGACCATTGTTGTAATCCCCCCGCCATTGGTTACCTTGGTAATTCCTTCCTTGGAAATTCTGAGGAGGGTAGTTGGAGTTACCCCCCCGGTTGCCTTGATTCGCCCATGGCCCTTCTTGTTTTGTTCGGCCATACTCCAGCAGGTTCACCTCCCTGTTGTTGCTTAGATTACATTCATCAACTAATTGACATGAATTGGTCAAATGTGGACCAAAACATATCTCACAAGAGAGTACAAGTTCAGTTGAATGGGAAACAGGTGAAAAAGTATTAAATTGAGATGACTGTGGGACAGAGCTTGAGTTCCCGAAGTATCGGGATGATTGTTGATTCGGGACAGCACCGATGTTGTTGACTTGGTTGGTGTGATTGTTATCATTCTTCAAATTCTTCACTTCCACGACCAATCCTTCAATCTTCGCTGTTAGGGCCGTGAGTTGGTCAACTTCAAGATAGCCTGGTTTTGTTGCTGCTGGAGTTCTTTCATCATACCAGTATCTTGCATTTGAAGTGACCTTCTCCACCAGAGCTTCGTTGGTGTTGGGTGCCATGTCAAGGAATGATCCCACCTGAGAAGAGAAATCAAGTTCTTTTTTGCTACTAACTTGAAGTCCATTGTAAAAATGGAACATCAAGCTACTAGAATCCATCAGTGTGAGTGGACATTTGTTTCTCATATCCTTGAAACGATCCCATGCTTCACTTAAGGACTCCATCGGGAATTGTCTAAAATTTTGAATTGCTGTTTTAATTTTAGCAACTGCCGATGGAGGAAAGTATTCTTGCATGAATGCTTGGTGCAGTGCCGCCCATGTTGTGAAGTGACCCGTTGGAAAGCTATTCAGCCACAAAGATGCCCTATCCCGTAATGAGAAGGGAAATAGGGTCAACTTTGCGGCGTCGGAGGTCACTCCGTTAAAGCGGAACGTTTGGCATGCTCGGGTGAACCACAACATGTGGGCCCTAGGGTCATCTTGCTTGGACCCGCCAAATTGATGATTGGACATCATGTTGACAATGGCGGGTTTGATTTCGAAATTGGCTGCCTCGATTGCCGGTGCGCTGATACTATCATCCTCGATGAAGTTCGGCGTAAGATTTTGCAACACCGTCTTTTCTCCCGCCATGCTTGGGTTCTTGTGGATTGAAAGATTTTTCCACAAAGTTCGCTCAGGTTCAGGATCAAGTTCAATTAGACCTTCCACTCCTTTAGAGCGGGTGTGCATTCATTTATCCTGAAATCTTTATACAAATTGTCGCAAGGGCGAAAAAGTCTCCCTAACTAGAATTCACCTATGCTAGAATTAAATCAAGAAATAATCGTGCCATTCCCCGGCAACGGCGCCATTTGATAACCGCTTTCGCGGCGTTGTAGTAAAACGGAGTCTAACCTTTCGGTTTTTCCCCGAGTGTCGTGTCTCTTGAGGAATGGCGGAGAAGTTTCTTAATTTAATTTTAGTCACGGGCTATCGCTAATTGTTGGAAGCTTTTTCAATATAGGAAAGTGATTTTGTTCTATATTACGCTAAATTATAACTAGGAGCAAGGTGCAATTTAAAGATTAATGTATAAATATTGAATATTCAAGGATGCAAATAAGGGCAATGAATTGAGTAATTAGAAATGGATATGTTCTTGGACCTCTTAATTAGGGAAATTAAAACTAAAATTGGACTAATAATTTCTTTCCTCATAGACAAGAATAGAAACTATCTTCATTAATTTATCCTATTTCTAGGTGTCATTAATGTGTTTAAAATGGTTGGCTTAAATTATTTTCTAAACCCATAGACAAGGTAGAAATAATTTTCCAATATTTTAATTAATAAAAATAGCCAAATTCATTAACTAGTTAAACTCTTTATTTTAGCAATTGAATTTATTTCTCATAGACAAGATGTAAATCCTTTTCATTAAATTATCCTATTTCTAGGCCTTATTAATGTGCTCAAATATGGTTGGCTTAAATTAATTTCTAATCTCATAGACAAGTTAGAATTAATTTTCCAAGAATTTAATTAATGAATATGGCTAACTATTATTAATTACTATTTCATCATTTCAAACAACTAGTCCAATTTATTAATTTTAACCCCTAATTTTAGGTCAACAAGTCAATCCATATTCCTTTTCTCAATTCATGCCCTAACAAATTTAGCTACTCATCACCATTTTTGCAATTAACAAAATAATGATTAAATTCAACATTAACAAGGAATTAAACATGTATGATAGCAAAAATTAAACAAAAATTATATTCTGGAACAATAAACTTGTAGGAACTAAAATATAACTTTCTGGATTTTTTCACCAATTTTTGAACCTAAAATCCAATTTTTGACAACTAATTGATAATTTTCCCAATTTTAACTAGAAAATGCAAAAAGCAACTAAAAATATGCTAACTTCGTTATAAATTTTATTCTAGCTACTGGGAGTGATATTACTATGAATCAAACTGAAATTAAGGCCGAACTAATTTTTTTCTATTTTTCTAGTATTTATTCTAAATTATGAATTAATCTCAAATAATTACCAAAATTAATTAAAAATTACTTATGCTTCGTGAAAAATTAATTTATTCAGATAAATAACTACCTTGAGGCTAGTAAACAACTATATAATTAATTGGAATGAATTCAACAACAATAACTATTTTATTTAATTTTTGGAAGTAAATGCGAAATACTTGAAAAATAATCTGGAAATTTTCGAAGAACAGATTGAACAAACAAAGTGCAGATTCAGATTCTACTCGTTGAGAAGATGAAAATACATATAAAGAACTTACAATTTGGAGCTAAAATGAAGAAGATATGAAGATTTGAAGTTTCTCTCTCTCTAAAACCTTTGGAGCTCGAAAATGGAGGAAGAAAGAGGGTGTTTTGAACTGATTTAGGGTTGGAAGTGGTGTGTTTGAGTTCAGCAAAAATCGGGCAATTTATAGGAAATTTTTCTCCGTAGGCGGCCATCCAGGCGGCCGCCTTCCGCCTCTATCCGGCCGCCTTCCGTCTAATCGCCGGCAGCGGATCGTGGCCGGTCCCGTCCGCCGTAGGCGGCCACAGAGGGCGGCCGCCTTCCGTCACACCTCGGCCGCCTGCCGTCTTTTCACGTTCAAATCGGATCGCGGCGGATCCCGGCGGATCCCGGCCGCCGCAGGCGGTCCAGCAGGCGGCCGCCTGCCGTCCTGTCTGGCCGCCTGCCGTCCCGTCTGGCCGACCGGTGGTTGGTTTCGTCCCCTTGTGCCGCAGGCGGCCACCGTAGGCGGCCGCCTTCTGTCCAGTGTCGGTAGCCTTCGGTCTTTTCCTAGTCCCGAGTCAAAGCGAGGTTGACTTCTGATTTTTCCCGTAGGCGGCCGCGGAGGCCTCCATTTTGGGCGCCTATTTGGGCGCCTTCGGCCATTTTTGTCTGGCAGATGCGGCTTTTCTTGCTCTTCATTTTTGTCTTCTGAATCACCTTGATAAAATGCTTGCTTCTTCCGGTATAAATGCATTTGTCACTCAAATTGACTCATTTTGTGCTCAATTGACCCGAAATCCCGCTAAACATATTATGGATGTGATTTTCACCTGATTTCATGAAACTTGAACCAAAATATCTAAAACATGCCTTTTCTTTCTATTTTCAATCAAAAATCGCTTAAATTTGATAAGAAAAATAAGTACAAAAATGGACTTATGAATGACATTGGATCATCATTTAAGGCTGTGCCTACCGAAGAGGAAATAGAATCAGAAGTAGAGCATACCTCATCATCTGATTGTGCCATGAGGCAAAGATCTTCAGTTTCTGCATCCAAGCAGCAGAATGCTTCATCAGAGTCGGAGTCTGAACTGGACTCTGATTCAGAGAGTGGATCTCTCTCAGCTTGTTCTGAGACAAATGCTCTCCTTCTTCTGTGTTGATCATCTGGTTTCTTTTCTTCTTCATGTCCTTGCTTCTTGGACACTCTTGGATAGGGGCAGTTTGCTTTAAAGTGCCCAGGTTGTCTGCAGTTGTAGCAGAGGTACTCTCCATTGCTTTCAGAAGATTTGGTCTTCAGATAAGGTCTTCTGATGGAAGATGGACTCCTTCCATCTTTCTTCATGAACTTCTTAAACTTCCTGGCAAAAGCAGCCATATACTCATCAGATAAAAGAGTAGAAGGGTCAAAGTCACTTACCTTTGAGGTACTGGCAGTGAGAGCAGTGGTAGTCCTTTCATCAGGAACTTCTTTCTTCTCTTCATGCATCTCAAACTCATAAGCCTTGAGATCAGAGATGAGTTTCTCAGTGGCATAAGTCTTGATGTTCTTGCTTTCCTGGACTGCAATCACTTTCATCTTCCAAGCTGAAGGCAGTCCCCTGAGGATCTTCATGTTGACCTCTTTGATGGTGAGCTCCTTCCCAAGCTCAGAAATCTCACTAATGAGAATCAGCAGTCTCTCATGCATCTTAGCAATGCATTCTTCTGGCAGAAGTTTGAAATCATCAAACTTTTTCATAGCAATGGTCAACTTGTTATCTCTTTCTTGTTCATCTCCTGCTCCAATCTCATCCAGCTTATCCCAGATTTCTTTGGCAGTTCTGCACTTCTTGATTCTGTTGAAGTATCTTTCATCAATAGCCTTGTAAAGAATGTCCTTGGCTATATTATCTAGGTTGTACTGCCTTTTCTCTTCCTTGGTCCATTCTGACCGGGCTTTCTCAATCATCTGGGGTTGAGAGTTGTCAATAGAGTGAGCAGGATTGATCTTCATGAACTGGATGAAGGGGCCATTTTCCAAGACTTCCCACATTTCATCATGAAGGGCACATAGATGTGCCTTCATTCTGATCTTCCAATCATCATACTTCTGATCTGTGAACATAAGATGCTTTGCAAGAGAATTATCCATAATAATAAATAAAGAGAGGCTAAGAACAAGTGGATCTTTGTTCAGAGAGTAACCTAAAAGATTACAAGAACAAGGAGGCTCTGATACCACTTGTTGGTCCCGTTTAATATGGTAACCAGTCTAGAGGGGGGGGGGGGTGAATAGACTGGTTGGTTTTTCAAATTTTCTCTAAGTCCGAAGTGACTTATCAGAGAAGGTCTGATTCTGATGACAGAGAAAGGCTGGTTCTGATATCAGAACTGGCCTTGGCAGCGGATTCTGATCTGTCCGGGTAGCCTCAGAAACACTAAGGCAAATGCCTTTCTGATAACTCTGAAAACAAGATCTGCTGATCACAGATTCCAAGTCTTAGAGTTAATCAGTTAATATCCTAAGTGCAGAAATATAAATTGCAGTAAAGTAAATGACACCGGATATTTTATAGTGGTTCAAGGAACAACTCGTTCCTCTAGTCCACTGTTCCACTAGCTTTGAAGTAGATCGGTTACAAAGCTAAATCCTAGCACTCAAGAAGCACTCCTCGTCTTCTTCAAGCCTAGATGCCACCCAGGATGCAGTTCCACGTCCTGATGGCTGATCCTTTCACTCAGCTTCCCGGAAGTATCACCACTTCACTACTGCAGTTACTTGGACGCCCTTCTTTTCAGAAGATCCTTTGAAAAACAAAGTTTTTCCTCCAACTTGCTTCGTTACAAATGATGTTTGATGAAGTTCTTGAAGTGTTGAAGAACAGGATGAACTTTGCTTGTTTGTTGGGGATGAGAGATTTGGAGTTTGAATCTTCCCAACGTAAGCTTGTCTTGTTGAAGGTTGTAGAATTTGAATCTCAAGAGAGCTTGAATGATGATGTGTAAGAGTTGTAGCAAAGTTTTTTTTTTCTGTTCTTCGATGTGTAGCTTATATACTGAGGTTGTCTGCCCGTTGGAGGAGGAGACAACTGCATTAAATGCGCCTACTGTTGACTTGACCGCCGTTTTGGAAGGTTTCTATTTTTATAATATATCTTCCCGGATTCTTTGGTCAATCATTTGCAATCAATCCTTCAGCGTATCAGGCTCATTTAATGTGCATTAAATGCTTTCCTTTCATGCACAGTCTTCTAGCCGTTGGATGTTTTTACCCGTTGAATTCATAGCTGTTGGATGTTGCTTGAAATCGTCTGAGTGTTCGTCGAGCTCTGATCAGGTTCTTCTGATATGTTGGATTCTGATGGCTATCTGATGAGTTGAGTTCTGATGGTCTTCTGATCTCTGACTGAACTCTGACTCTGATAGGTCCGCTGATGAGTGCTTCTGATCTGTAGTTCTCATCGGCTATCAGATGTCCAGGCTTATCAGCAACTCTCATGATGCACCTCTGATGGACTTCTGGTAAGAGAACTCTGATGGAGCAGTTCTCATAGAGCAAGTCTGGTCGAGCAGTTCTGATGCACTTCTGATCTGATCCAAAATAGAGCAACTCTGATCGTCGACTACACTAATACTTACAATTAAAAAATCTAATACATAAAATCTAACTTGGGGGTACTCTAACTTTCTAATCCTATAGCATCATCAAAATCTAATTACATTTATTCCTTACATGCTAAACCAGACACGAGCTATAAGAGCAACTCTTCACGAACAAAGAAGTGTTCTTTATAGAAAAAAATCAAGGAACTGGAGGACTTAATTGCAAAAAAGGATAAACTGAACAAGCCATTTTCTTAAACCAGTCTAAGGACACCCATTTCTATAATTCCAAAGAAGGACTTGGTCTGTCCAACTCATGTAACTTGAAGAAAGTTAACTGTCGTCAACTGTATGAAATCAATTACATGGGTCTCGGATTGACTAAGTTAATGTCTTTTGTTGGTGCAAAAGAAACTGCTGAACTTGAAGATGAAAAGAGATCGAATGTTAGTATAGAACTGAAATTCCTTTTGATTATGTTGCTTTGAATTAAGAGTTATGAAACCAAAGAACCAGAGTTTTCTACTGATGAGAGTTTGAGCATTTATCCTTCTGAAATGGAAACTGTGTCCCCCTCAACCTCACAGTCTAGTGATGGAGAACCTTACATCCCTCCTTTGATAAAAAGTTTAAAAACTTACACATTTCTATTGAAAATCAAAGAAAAAGTTTTGAAGAAGAAAGAAAGAGTTTAAACTTTTGAGAGAACTTAAACTTTTAAAAGCGAGTTCCCGGGCTCACACAACTTCCCCGTCTAAAAGCAATTCTTGTTATGATAACACTCTTGAAAACAAAAACAAAACCAAATTTTCTGAAAAAGCGTCCTCTCACTCCAAGTCTCCTTTGAAAACAGGAAACAAAGTGAATAGGAGATTGGAGAAGAGAGAAGAGTGGATGCTGAAGAGAAGTAGCTGAAGGAAAGAGAAAAGAGTTTTTGAAAAATAAGAAGTCTAGTTTTAGTGCTTTGTTTTACTCTAAGAATAATTGTAGCTCTGGCTCAACGTGCAATCTTGTAGTTATGATTCAGTCGTGTGTCCCAAGTTGAATGTCTCTAAGTCAACCTCTGAATGTTTTTTACTTTACTGATGAAATGTATGCTTTTGGTCTTGGTTATTCTGGTTCTGATTCTTCATCATCTGATTCTGAATGTGATGTGAATGGTGTGTGATAGAGTATTAATTCTAGAGAGAAGTGAAAGCTAGAGAGAGAAAGTGAGTAATTATATTTCTCAACTTGGAACCCCCTATAATTAGCCCCTTGGGGTCTATTTATAGGTAAAGATGTGGATTTGGGCCCCTAGCCTTGGGCTTAGGAGGCCCATTACAATAATCATGCCTTCTTTGGGCGAAATAAGGCCACTAATGGGCTGAGTACAACACTTAGTACAAAAAATGGGAAAATACATTCTGCCCGGACGAAGTCCGGACGAAGCGGTCCATGGACGATGCGGTCCATGGACGATGCGGTCCATGGACGATGCGGTCCATGGACGATGCGGTCCATAGAAATCAGGCGATATCTTCTCTTTTGGGTGTCGCGTGCCTTTGGCCGATGCGGGTGTCCCACTGGTGTCTTTTGGGCCGTTGAGTATGTGGGCCATGGGGTCTAGGCCCATATACTCTATCAGGAGTCCCCCACTCTCTGAGCTGAGGTGAAGCCGAAGCGAAAGGGAGTACTTGTTCCTCTCTGGCTGGCCGCCGCGTGGGCCTAAAGTGCTTGATGGCCGAAGAGTCTCCGCTTTGATTTTGGACGAAGCAGTTTCCTTTACTTGATGTAGATTGAAGCGTGCTTGGGAATTCATAGCCTTGATGTGGGCCGATGCGCTTTCATGGGCGTGCTCTTAGGACGAAGCGGTATGTTCCCTTTTTTGATCCGCAGCGATAACTTTGTTCTATGAGGTGAAGATGGTTGACTCCGTTTATGTAGACGATGCGGTGCGCACCTTTGATTTGTTATGCGGCCAAAGCGTTTTGACTTGTGAGTTTTTGTTATGGTGAGACGATGCGGTCCTCTCAGTGTACGCCGCCGTTGCGTGTTAGATTTCGCATGGTGAGTTTCTTTTTATTTTGGGCTTTGCGGCCGACGCGACTCGCGATGTCCTTGAGGTAGCTGATGCGACTCTTATGCTTATCTGAGGTGAATTGTCCGTTTT